TTATTACAATTTATCATATCTTAGACAAACTATCTTTAGAAAATCTTATAAAGTTAAAAAACTTCAAGACAAAATTATTTTTCAGCACTTTTCACAAATAAACCATTCTAATGATCCTAGATCTCTCTCAAAAAAAGAATAATACATTTATAGAATGTAATAGATGCTCTTTTAATATTGGCTTTACAAATATATCCAAATATACTAGTTGTTTAATAAAATGTGACAATATTGTGAATATCGACTTATCTCAGATCATTAATATAACTTACTTCTTCTCAATTAACTCTGAAAAACTGTACCTTTTAAAAAAAAATATTAAAGCTATTTTAGATTAGGCTATTCAATACTATATAAAAGTGCGCCCCCCTCTAACCAGCTATAATAGTTTACATTTGACTAATTTTTTCTATTTTACTATAGAATCCTTTATTAATTCCCCTGCCATAGTTTCCTTATTAAATTCTTTTAAAAATAGATTGAAATATGAAAAGTCCCTATTATTTTATATAGATAATTCACATAGATTTTTGCCAGACCATACCGATCCTATAACATATATTAATTCTGCTTTGCTCTTAGTTTATGAAAATATAGATATAGAATTCTTCACAGCTCTTCCTCTATTTTGGCCTAATTCAACTAACACAGAAATTTTTGCTTTATTACTTGTTCTTATTATTTGTTCACATAATTTAGATTTAAATATTTGCATAGATAGTTTAACCCTTATTCACTCTTATAATAAAATCTAATAACAAAATGTCTTTTTATACTCTTTAATAATGTTCAAACTTCTCTTTAACATTTACTGATCCATTATTTTTAAAATTATTGAAGAAAGGAATATCTTGTTTACCCTTACTAAAGTAAAATTACATTCTAATAATCCATATAATAACAAAGTTGATTAACTTACAAAATTCTCATTACACTCTTCTTCTATCTTAATTACATTCAATTATATCCTATACTTTAGATATATCCCCCTTTTTAAACAAATGCTTATTTTTACTGCTTTACAACCTCTAATTAAAGACTTCTTACAAACAAAATACTTTGAAGCCTACTACTCACTCAAATAAAACAAAAAATACACTAACCTAGAAATTAATTACAAACTCATTTTTCACCTCAAACTGGATTTTCTCTTAACTACTTTCTTTGAAGAATCATATGCACATTGTAGAAGAATCAAATTTTTACTTAAATAACTTCCAACAATTAAATCTCTTAAAGTCATATAATCTTTCCTTTATAATAATTCTTGAAATTGCTATCAATATAATACATCAAACAAAAATTTTAATCATATATGGCTTTGTCCTGTTGTTAGACTTATTATCAATAAAATCATTCTTGATTTATTATTATATCTCAAAACACAATTCTTCATACACACTTCACGTTCAGGTTTTCTTTCAGAAATCTCAGCCCTTTTATTACCTTCTCATCATTATTGGGCTATTAAAGCAGATCCCTACAATATTACAATTATTGATTTCATTAAAGACATTATTCCTTTCTTTTTTTTAAAACACTTGATACTTTTACCAACTCTTCTTCCATTACCTTCACTATACTTTCTTCCTTTTACAAATTTTTATTTGATCAAACTTATACTCTTATATGAAAATCTAAATGCAATCTTACTATTACCAAAGAACAATCTCTTCACATTTCACAATATAGTAAAAAGCATAGCTCTTTTGCTTTGTCTACATAATTTTCTTGAAATAGTTTTACTAACATCTCCTTTCCTTCAACTTATCCTCAGCGTGAACACATTTTCTTAATCAAAAATTTTTACATACATGGCCATCATTGGCCACTCTTATTAATGCAATAATAACTAGTTGTCATATGTTTAATTTTTATAGTTAGGTAGTAATAGTAATTCTTCTAGTAATTATTACCGAAGCCTAACGGAACAATCAGTTAGTCTGGTAAAATAGGGTTCATAAAATTAGTATTCTTATTAAGCAACTTTTTTTATTTTTCTACATCTGTATCTCATTAGAGGATTTTCATGTAAAATTTTTTATTGATTATGATTATACTTAATAAACAAAAGCATTACCACATCTTAAAAAAATTGGTCTAATCAGATTAAGCTTATATTTGTTAAAAAGCTCTCGTCAAGACGGTTCTAATGATATTATTTCTATCAAAATATTGATCATTAATTTAAGAGTTATTTAATTTAATAATATTCTTCTTGTATAATATCTTTATCATCATCAGAATTGTTACCATTAACTTCCTTAAGATTATCTACAGCAGGTCTAATTAAATCATTAGGATTATCATTGATTTCTGAAAGATAACAGTTATATAAGTCTATTCATGAAAGTGTATGATTCTCTGTAAAGCTAAAAATGTCTCTATAACAAAAATGTAAAAGAACTTTTACGTGACAAAATTCTTCCTACTGAGGACCATTTTTGATTGGAAATGGTTGTAGCCAAATGTATACAATGTTTTCTTTACTATATTTTACTCACTCTTCTCTGACTAACTTATATTGCAGATACAATCTAAATAATAACACATCATTCAATTCAGTAGATTGACTGCAATATCTTTGCAAGGTGAGGGATCTGTTTTTTTAACTTTATTATTCTCATTATGTTCACTGTCATGAAACCACTGATTTGCCTCTTTATTAAGATTTAAACTAGCAAAATTTTTACTATTGTGATAAAGTGGTATTTAAAAGAGAAGGTGGCAAGTTTCCTGGGCTAAATAATCATGTTCTTTCACTGTATAAATAAGCAACTTTTAGAATGCTTTAATACTTGAATCATTTGGATTATCATTACAAAGAGTTTAATCCAAAACTTCTGAAAAAGCTAAAGATCATGGCTCAGCTTTACTAGCATATTTTGAAACATACTGTAAAGCAGCATGTTATGTGAGAATGGGCTTCAAATCAATATTTACCTTTCATTCCTGAAGTTGAATATGATTATATGAATTTACAAGTAGATTATTTCTGGCTATTATTAACTCTAAGATGACTATTATTGTTTTGAATAGTTATTTGATTTGTTAACTCTTTAGGAAAACCAAATCTGCATTTCTGTTTACCAGTTTTTTTGTCAATTCGTAAACAGTAGAAACCACAATGTGTATAATACTGTAATTTGTTTATTAGCTCAATGTTATCTGCTGTATCATTATTGAGATCTTTAAGGCACTTTTGATATGGGTGATGATCAGGAGAAGGTACATCTAGACCAGGATTGATTATTGTAATTAAACAATCTAAGTAATGCACAACATTTTCCATTATCTCCTCATTGTCACTTATTTTTTTCCAATCAATTTCAGGTGTATCTTTTTTCTTGACAATATTATGCACATGGACATTACTATGATGCTGCTATTTGAAGTGATATTACCACTCAACTAATCCCCATTTAGGTATAAGAACCTTTTCAAAAAAGACTTTAAACCGCTTTTCAAAAATCTATGCAGCAATATGAAGATTATCTATAAAATCCTTATGTTAATGTTTAGCAGCATCCTGATTTGATTTTGCTTCTATAGTATTTCCTTCACTAGGCATGAGATTATGTAGATTTGGCTAATGCATATTAGCTACACTAAACGTGAAGAATACCATTCCTTAAAATCTCACCTATTTTATTATATCTATTAATTCAGCTCTACGATGCATCTAATATTGATGGGTATTATGTAATCCCTTACTATAATGTAATAATTAATCTATAATATTATTATTAGCTTTCATTAAATCTAAGATTTTAGCTACGGTAAGTTGCCCTTCATCTAAATTTTGTCAGACGAATATATGACATTCTGATAACGCTCTCCATCTCATTATTGTATTTAATGCAAAATAATGCTATTGTGAATGATGAGTGAACTGACCATCTTTGTAGATTAAAAGGTATTTAAAGTATTCTGCCAATTTTATTTCTTTTACTCAATGTTCATAGTAGTTTGCGATACTCCAAGAATAAAGTGTAGGGAATGCTCATATTATGTATCTGGAAGTATGAAAATCATTAACTGAAGTATTCTTGTTATGCGACTAATTTTTATGCACAGGACGATCATGTTGCATTCGATAGAGAACTTCATTAATTGTATTATTTTTACTATGTTCAGTAGATAACATAGAAACAATGTTTGTGAGGTGAAATGAGTTTCATCATTTTCAATTTCATCTTCATGCTGCTCATTTGGTCCTTCCTCTTCATAATAAGCTTTATTACTTAAAACCTGTAGGAGCTGCTTTGCAATCGATCTATTTTCAGGTAACTTTTGCAAAATATTATTATCGATATCAATGTCACAATAGTATATATTATTGGCTTTTAATCACAAAAGAACTTACATTACTTTTTCTTGATGAACTTAGAAGCCATGAAAATTGGATCCATTTTTAGTATAACACTGAACAATAAGCAAATTCAGCAATAATAGGTCACGTGAAAGGCAGATTACGAACTTTTATACATCTTGTGAAAAATTAATAATATTTTCACAATATGTGTACTGTCCTCTAGGAAGATTATATACTAAAACAATAGGAAATATTTGTGCAATTGGCATCTTTTTTATATCAGTCAAATCCTGAAGTTCTTGTGAAACTTTGTCTAGAAAAAAGTGAAAACACATGAGTCTATTAAGTTCAAGTCTATATTAAGAAAAAATGTTTTACTTTCACCTAGATCTATATTGTTTTCAATAGAAAATCTTTTAGACCTATTTTCTTTACAGCATTGACAGCATTCTTCACCAGCAAGTACAATAAATAGAAATTGCTCATTATACGTGATACAGAGATTATTCCTTAAATTACTAATTATATTGTGAAATTTGTGTAGAAGTTTCTGATCTGAAGTTGAAACACCTTCCATATTACATCTTTAGCGTAGAGTTGTCCTATTCTTAGAAAGTCTTATGATGCGTTATTAGAGAGTTTCTCTAAACTTTCTTAATAAATATTTTTTATATGCACAAGCATGCTAAGCCTTCTCTTCAGCCACTAAACGCGTCTTAAGTTCTTCATGAGTCTCTTCAGCTTATTGTTTTTCTTATTTTGATTATATGCCAAACGTACCTTATGAGCCTCTTCAGCCACTTTCCGCTTCTTATCTGTATCATGTGAATGTGATGCCTTATTTTCTTTATTATTCTTTTTGAGTGAATTCACAGAAATTTGTTTTATGAATTATGTATATAAAGCACGTTTTACATTATTGATTTTAAAGACAAGAAAAAGAAGTGCAATCAGAAGTATTAAGTATTATCAGCTATTTTACCATATTATAATTAGATATAGACATTATTAAATTGTGAACTTTATTAAATGAATTAAATGAAATATCAAGTATGAAAGAATATTTGAAAAATGTACACAAATAAAAGAAATATTTGCAATTGGACGCGTTTAACAAAAAAAAGGTGATTCAAGTCCCCAACTGAGAAACATTCTTTGATATCACGTGACTTTTATATTAAAACGGCAAAGATACTTGTAAATGCAAGTTAACGATCTGCTGCTTTTGGTATTATGAACGAAATGTATTTTAATATCGAAGCAATTTTGTATTATTATAATCGTTAAAAAAAATTTTTTATTATAATAATGATTTGTAACAGATATATATATAATAAAAGTTAAACAAATAACATATACTATAATATTCTAATAAATTGATTGATCTACACTATGAAAACCAAAAAGTTTGTATAACATTAAAATGCGACGGACTTAAACGGTTTCCGTTTCCCTAGTTATAAATTCAAGTGAAAAAAATTAATGCCTCCATAAATATAATTTATTGGTCAGACCAATATTTTTTTAATTTGAAGAATCTTACCTGTCATGAATTTTATAAATTCCTACTAAACGATCCGCTAATTCAAACATGTTATTACGTAAACTAATAACAATAAATTGTGCGTCTTTAGTACGTTCTTTAATAATGTTAGCGACGATTGACACAATGCGAAAATCCAGGCCGCATCAATCTCATCCATAACATATAAGGGTGTAGGTTTGAAATGGTGTAGAGCGAATACCAAAGCCAAAGAACTAAGTGTCTGTATTTGACAAAATAAATATTCAGTACATATCTAGTTTAATTAAAATGAACATAAAACATATGACATACCTTTTCTCCACCAGATAAATTCGAAATATTTTTCCAACTTTTTTTCGGCGGCATAACACTAAAAATAATGCCTTCAGAAAAAGGGTCCAAGCTGTCGCAACATTCAAGCTCGGCATTTCCTCCAAGATTAATCATCTAAAAACCAACGCTTGTTTATATTTATGTAACATATGTTGAGATAAATAGTGCCATTTAAATACCTGATACATTTCTTTGAGTTTCCGAGATATTAAAGTGAACCCGTGCATGAATTCTTCCAATCGTTGCTTTCTTAAACGATCGTATTCCTTTTTACACTCATCACGCTTAGAAGTAATCTCTTCAAGATCTCTAACACGTGACAAATACTCTTTCTCACGAATACGATAATCTTCCAAAACACTTAAATTTGGATTGGCATTTTGTATTTTCTCTGAAGAATTTTTTTTTTTTAAAAAAAAATTTATTATATATAAAGAATAGTAGAATATAAAATAAAGATAAATTAGAATACCTTTAAGAACATCGATCTCTCCTTGTAATGTATCTTTGTTCATTGCATTAAGCTCATCATCAGTGTAAATTTGAAATTCTTGCTCCTCATCACCTCTATTTTATAAGGTCAATTAGATAAATGGTAGAATGAATATTTAAAAATATCATCAACACGCTTACTCAATCTCATGAAGTGTAAGTTTGCTAAGAGAATTTCGCCAATGAGTTTCTTTCTGTTTACTTTCTAACAAATGGCGCTCACTATCTTCGAGTTGAGTTTTGATTTTTAACTAATACAATACATAGTGTGATTGGTTATAAAAAAATATTTGACGTAATGTTGAGAGAATAATAATAAATATAAATATAAACCTCAATTGCTCGAATCCGATTAATTATTTCGGTTTTTTCATCAAGTTTTTCCTTGATCTCATCTAATTCTTCTTTTTTACTTTCCAATATCTAAATAATTAGGAAAAATTTAAATAAGTATTATATATATATTTCTTTTAAAAAAAAACAGATATAAGTCTGAATAAATACTGATATGGCTTCATCGGCTTTAATACGAATGGAACGAGCAACTTCGGTTTTCTGTTGAATTTCTTCCGTAAGTTTTTCTATGTCATTATTTAATTCTTCTAATTCTCCTTCACTTTTTGCTAGAGAATTTTCGATTTTAATCCTATCCTTTTCCGCCTTTGATTTGGCCACCTGAGACTTGATAATTCGCTCATTTATTAAGACAAGTTGTTCTTTAACATGATCCACTTTAGACTTTTGAGCTCGAAGTTTATCACCTCCAATTTCCAAAATCTTATCTTGCAAAATCTTAATATCCTCTTCAATTTTAGAAGGTTGTCTTTTAAATCTATCTAACTCTTGTATTAGATGATCAATTTGAATTCGAAGTTGTCCCATACGCCTGGTATCATCTATACTTGGATTATTTTTTTGCCTTATAGAAAAAAATAAATAAATAAATGATTACTTTTAACCATTAACAAGAATTTACTAGTATAATACGGTTATATGCATACCGTAGCTCGTCTATTCTTTTTTCAGTATGGATAATACGTTTTTTGCAAGCATTCGCATCCATCTCTAACTTCGATAGTTCAAACTCTAATTTAGAAAGTTCACCCTTTTTCCCTTGAAGTTGAGGTTCTAAAGATCTAACGTTTTCATTTAATTCTTTCCACTGCATTTCAAAGTGGCTACGAACCTTTTCCAATTTCGCGATTGTCTCGGATGTTATGTCCGGAGAAAATTTTGAATTCATAGCATCTTTAAACACTTGGTTACCTCCGCCGCTCATAGTGCCAGATTTGTCAATCAATTGACCACTTAACGTCACTACGCGCCATCGAGTATTAGTAAATGCGATCCTATTCGCTTGTTGCAGATTTTGGGCAACCAAAGTGTTTTGTAACACACTATAAAATGCTGGGATAAACCTATCATCTTTCGGCTTAATAAGATCAAAGAGACGGGGAACGTTTTCAGGTGTTTGTATAGGGCGCACGTCCATAGTTGGCAGTTCATTCAAAAGTATGAACTTGGCGCAACCTAAATCGTTTCTTTTAAGGTATTCTATACAAGTTTGTCCAACTTCAATAGAATCAACTACGATGTTGTTAATGCAGGACAGGCAGTTGAAATCGCGACATCGTATTTATCATCAATGACACCAATCCTAATTAAAAAATTAAAATAAATAAGATTTTCATAAAACAAATTTATAGAACGCTCCGCTCCGACGAACTTACATATAATCCTTTTATACGATCACTTTCTTTGAGCTTTATCAAGCTACTAAGAACTTGTCCCTAGACTGAGAAGAATTTAAAAGTCTTTTCGCCTCATCTTCTCTTTGTCGAGAATCGGCAAGACTAGACTTGGAAAG